TTTTTACTTCTATAATCTCATCCCTTCAAAGCACAAAATAACTTGAAAAGTATGAGCATGTGGATTGGGATGTGTCTTTTGAACTCCATTGCAGTTTACTCTTCTGGAGAAAGCTTCTATTCCAATTTCTAGGTGATCTGATTCTCCTCAATGCTTCAAATGGCTGTGAACAACAAAGCATAATAAAGTCCTGATTAAATAAACAGTTTGCTCAGCATTTGATTGATTTTCTCTAAAAACTCTTTCTTTTTTTTTTTAATGTGTGCAAATGAGACAAATGAGAACAAACCTTCCCATAGTACACTACCAGCAGAACTGCATTACAAGCATAGACCTACATCTATGCCAAATTTACACCAGCAGCAAAAGCTAGGAGGGAGGGTTTGGTCAAACATGCCAGCTGAGTTTTGTGAGTAGACAGGATCATGTGCCCCAAACTGTGTTTCCTTGTCCTGGTTTCAGCTGGAATAAAGTTAATTTTCTTCATAGCGGCTGGTATGATGCTGTGTTTTGGACTTAGGATGGGAATAATGCTGATAGCACAGAATCACAGGATGGTTGAGGTTGGAAGGAACCTCTGGAGATCATCTAGTCCAACTCCCCTGCCAAGCAGGGTCACCTACAGCACATTGCACAGGATTGTATCCAGTCTGGTTTTGAGTATCTCCAGAGAGGGAGGCTCCACATCCTTCCTGGGCAACCTGTTCCAGTGCTCTGTCACCCTCACAGCAAAGAAGTTTTTCCTCATATTCAGCTGGAACTTCCAGTGTTTCCATTTGTTCCCAATGCCTTTTATCCTGTTGCTGGGCACCACTGAAAAGAGTCTGGTTCCACGCTCTTGAGACCGTCCCTTCAGATATTTATACACATTGATAAGATTCTCTCTTAGCATTCTTCATGCTAAACAGTCCCAGGTCTCGCAGCCTCTCCTCATAGATGGCAGATGCACCAGTCCCCTGATCATCTTAGTTGCCCTCCTCTGGACTTGCTCCAGTAGTTCAATAGCCCTCTGGTACTGGGGAGTCCTGAACTGGACACAATACTCCAGATGAGGCCTCACCAGGGCTGAGTAGAGAGGCAGGATCACCTCCCTTGACTCTTCCTAATTTGGCCCCAGGATACCATTGGCACGTGGCTGGCTCATGGTTAACTTCTTGGCCACCAGGATTCTGGGGGGGGGGACATCAGTAGCTGCAGGCCTCCAGCTGGATTCTGCACTGCTGATCACAGCCCTCTGAGCTCTGCTACCCAGTCCGTTCTCAATCCTTCTCACTGCCCACTCATCCACCCCATGCTTTCCGAGCTTGGTTATGAGGGTGTTGTGGGAGACAACACTGTCAAAAGCCTTGCTGAAGTCAAAGTAGACAATATCCACTGATATTCTCCCATCTACCCAGCCTGTCATCCCATCATAGAAGGCTATCAGATTGGCTAAGCATGATTTCCCCTTGGTGAATCCATGCCAACTACTCCTGATTACCTTCTTGTCCTCCATGTGCTAACACCAATGTTTCAGTACTTGCAGAGCAGTGCTTACGGAGAGCCAAGGACTTTTCTGCTTCTCATGCTGCCCAGCCTCCTGGCTGGGGGTGCTGGAAGGGGACTCAGCCAGGACAGCTGATCCAGGCTGACCACAGGGATATCCCATGCCATATGGCATCATGCTGAACAATAAAACTGGGGGGTAGGGGGTAGCCAGAGGGGGTAAGCCACTGCTTGGGGACAGCCTGGGCATCAGTCAGCAGGTGGTAAGCAATTGTATTGTTCATATTTTGTTTTGTATTTTCGTGATTATTATTATATTATTATTATTATTATTTTCCCTTCCTTTTCTGTTCTACTAAACTGTCTTTATCTCACATTTTTACCTTTTTCCGATTTCTCTCCCCCATACCACTGAGGGGGGAGTGAGTGAATGTCTCTGTGGTGCTTAGCTGCCTGCCGGGTTAAAACACAGACTTTCTCTAAGCGCTTTCCTAAAGACAAAAACCTACAAACTCTGTTTGACTGTGCATTGTTACATTGACCTTTACACAGGACTGCAAAGAGCTGGTACGAGCCAATATGAATTTCCTTGACAAATGAGATTTATCATTAAATGTGATCAGAACCTCATCAGAAATGGAAGCTTAACTTGGGAAATGCACTATTAAATGGCTGTTTGATGCTTTCTTGATTTTAGGACTCATGCAAATTAATGCATACATGGTGGAGAGCTCATTATGGACTCAGATGCATCATTTCAGGCGTGTACTAAGCAGTGCAGAGTTGCATTTACTTTTCATTCACAGATGTTTTGCATGAAGAGTGCACCAATTTGCTTGCTAAACATCAAAGCATGATGTGTAGCAAATCATACCGTAAAGCAGTGCAAACCACTTAGCAAACAGCCTGTTTCGCCTGCCACCAAGTGAGTATGCCAGATATGAATAGTTCCCTGCTCATTCCCTCACTAATTCGACCCATCCCTCCCTGCCAGTGAAGAGCAACCTTGAAATGAAAATGCATAAATGCAGGGCCACAGCATTTAATCTGAAAGAGCTTGGAATCCTGCATATAGGAAGATCATGCATAACCTACTTATCAGGCTCAAAATAGGGTAATAGGGTTCTCCTTGGTGTATAAGAGAAAAACTGTATACTGTGATCACAACAGCCAACAAAATCTGAGGGAAAAAAAGAGGAGGTAGTGATACACAGAGCTGGCAACACTGAAAGAGCTAGTGTCCTAATGCCAAAGCATGGTTTAAAAATCGCAAAATACCAGAAAGATTCTAGGATTCTATATAAATAAACACCTCAGATTGCCATTTCATTGAGACCCAAGACATTTGCTCTGTTTTACTCACACTGACCCTGAGTAGTCGATAAAGCAGAGGAGGATGTTGGGGCTGCAGAGACAGCAGAACCCCAATAAAATCTCCATTCTGCTATTTTCAGGCTCTGAAAAAAATATGTTCTGGTTCATTCTAGTATAGGTCATACAATATCACAGGCAGCCTCTCCAGAAGGGTCTCACTGTCGTAGGGCAGTCTCCAAGCAAACAAAGCTCCAGGCAGGGGAGGTAAAAGAGCTCCTGGAGACCAGAAGCAGAAGTCAAAAAAGGGGAAGAAGGGAAACAGAGCAGAGTTTCAGGAGGACTAAACTTTCTTTTCTCTTGGCCATTCTTGAAATCACTTCTAGGGGAAAAAATAAATAAATAAATAAATAAATAAATAAATAAATAAATAAATAAATAAATAAACATGAGAGGAAGATAATTCTTGAGGAAAGAAAGAGGCCAGGCAGGAAATGAAAGGGGGAGGGGGGAGGAGGGAGGAAGGGCAGAAACACATAGGACAGCAAAATAAAGAAAGAAGGGGTAAACAGGAGAAATGAGGGGAATGTTACCTCTGCATTTCTGCTGAGAGATTTCTGCATTTCTGGAGTAGATCAGTGCTTTACAATGGTATGAAAGCCAGAGCCTCAGGATCTCGTGTCAGATATAGGCAGGCATGGCATGTTAGCAGCTGAAAAGGGGTTCAGTAGAGTTCTTAGGCTCACCTTCCCATCCATTTTCATTCTCTAACAGCTGAAACCACAGCTAATATTAACAAGCCTTAACCCTTACCAGGGAGTAAGATACCATAGTCAGAGTTATCTTCTTCAACATTACAAGAGAAACAAATTTATCTTCCTGTAGTCATTCTCCATAAACCTTTCACTAATGCCTTTATCTGCTGAAATTAAATGTGATTAACTATTTTTATTGATTGATGTTTGTGTTGTTAAATAATGCCAAGAACATTAGCAGAAAATGTTGCATTATATGTGTGTATGTAGTGTTCTTTTTGCTCTTACAAGCATCTTGAACTCAAGGCGCTATTGGATGAGGTATCTACATGGAAAGCACAGAGCTTTTGCCTCTTACTGTGTATAAAACTTTGTCTTTAAATAAAGCCCATGCCACTTTTGAGGAGAGAAATTGTGGAGGAAACAGTCCATGATGTGACATGGTCTGTTATAGGACTTATGCTCAGGTCTTCCCTTTCAGAGTCACTTTAAAATCCCAAAGAAGATGCTTTTACTCAGTGATTTGCAGATTTTTGTTGGTTTTCTGCACTTGCTGAGCATTTGCTGAATTGCCTCACGATTAGCATTGTTGGATCTAGACAGTGTTACCAAATGGTGCCAATGACCACTAAATACAAAGGGAAATGCTTCAGTGGTTGGTGTTGGGGGACTGGCAGATCATAGCAGGAACTGTGTTTTCAGTCACTAGTTTCAACACCTAGATGGACTTCACTATCTGAACTAGTTAACTAGGCCTCCTTCACAAGGCATATGGAGAAACAGGAATGCCTCTGACATATTTTGGGTATCCACTTAAGGTGATCAGAATCATGTTTTAAAAGTACCTCTTTCTGTCCACTGACTGTGAAGAGTCTAGCCTGGTCACCACAGATGTACATATTGACACCTGCTCAGACAAGTCCTCTCCTAGTGACTGAACACAGTGGTTTTATAATGACTGCTGAGTGAGCTGGGTCCTCAGTGAACACGACTGGCCATCATCACAGTTTGAATGATGTGGCACTTCAAGGCAAAAGGCCCAGGAGTTGCCCAAGGCAGAGCCTCAGCCAGTGCCTGCGCTCCAGGGATGAAGGTGGCGGTGGAGAGCTGGGAACATACATGGCCCAAGCAGGAGGGCTCTCCTTCTGGCAGCTTTCATTTCATTCAACACACACACCAGTATCTATACGTAAGCTGACATGAGGAGACCAACAGCCTAGCATGTGGCTTAGGACCAGACCCCTCACCTTCCAGCTGAATCATAAGGTTTGACAAAATTTAACTGCTGATTTGACCTGTGCTCAGAAAGGGAAAATAGAGGAAATATTCACTGTTATAATGCACCTTAAGTGTCCTTGATTTTCTGTATTAACAATGTTTACCTGTGTCCTTTCTTCTCCCCCCACCCTACACCCTACCTATACATCACTGAACCTGGGATCACCTAAGGAAACCCATGAGAAAAGAAGAGAACGGAACCAGTCGGGCTGAATATGCAATGACCTCCTCCCAAAACAACAAAACAGTTGACAACAGTGCGGTCGTATAATCCCTGAAACCCCACTGAGGTGCAGGAGGTGGTAAACTTTTAAAGCACACGCATGGAGTATGCAAGGTGGGTGAAATAAGGCACCAAAAGGGGCTCTGTGGCCACGGACTTCATTTCAGAAATAGCGCACGCATCAGTGACTACGAAGAGAAAAGCAGGCTGCTCTTCAGGCTTGCTGCTTCTCCAAGGGAGGATAAATTCACCTGTCCAGGCTGCCCAGAGAAAAGGCAACACAAAGGCATAGGCATCGCATGCTGCATCTCATGAAAGCAACGTCACGATGCCTCCTGCTTCCTCTCCACCCACTGTTTAGTTTGAACTGGGTGCCCACAAAAAGCTCCTTAAATAGGGTCTTTCAAGGAGAAGGTGATCTGCCAGAGTGGCAGCAGCTTATTATGTGTCTGAGGGTCAAAGGTGCGAGCTGTCACCTACATGCTTCGCCAGCCCGTGCAGTGTTTTCACCTAGAACCTAGCAGCTTTGTATCCTTATACTTCACTCATTCTTATCATTTTTATTACTTCATTATTAAAAAGGGAAAAAAAAAATCTGTTAAGCCATCAAGGAACCAAAAGTTGGATGAACTTGTGACTGAACTTGTGACCAGGAAATTCATCTGCGGTCTGGTGACTATGCAATTTCCAAGGCTGAAGACTTTTCAGGCAAAATAAATCAATTTTAGTATTTTATTTTAGCAATTAGCATTGCTAATGAAAGAGAGATATTATTAAGAGGTGCTTTAAACATTAGTTACTTTACAGTTAGCCTCCTTTTCCACATCACATCCTTTTTATCTTTTAAAAAGTCCCTCCTTTGTGAAAGTCTACACATTTCCCCGTGTTTGCATCACACTGATTCACCGGGGAAACCCCTACATGAAAGATTTTGTTTACATCTTGGAGTGAGCATTTGGGTGAGATTTTGTAGAGAGGATGAGCAGCCCTTTGGAGTCCTTTTCCTTCACTGATGAGTGTTGTTTCCTGAAAGTGTCAAGTCTCATGAAATGACCCACCAAGGATGTTGTAGATCTGGCTTGGAGGACCATTTTTGAGGGCCTTGTAAGCTGATTGTGCCCATGTTAACTCAGTCTCTGCCTCTCCTGGGCAGAGACTGCCAGTCGTGCCAAATTCAGCATAATAGCTTAGTGTTGTACTTTCCATGACATGGATTGCAGACTACTTAAAGCAAAGCTGAATCCACCCAAATCCATTTCATTTAGGATCTCAGGTTAGACTCAGTAAGCAACCCTTAGAATAAAGGCAATTGGACTGGCCGAGCCGCTGGTCTTTACCCACCTCCTGAAAACTTTTCTTTGTGTCACACCTCCACATGTATGTCTCCATTTACCTCTGTGCTGAAAGTAGCGACGCAGTGAAAGACAAACGTCCACCCTGGCTTCTTGTCTGGACATCAAGCACCAATACCACTGGGTCTCTGTGTCTGTGAGTAACTCTCAGGGGCCAACCCGCTCCTGGTCTGGGATGTGGCTGTTCCCCAGCTGTCGCGTCCATCGGTAATGCAACACACCGATGCTTTCAGTTTTATGTAAGGATGTGCCTGAACTGCAGAAAGCAGATCTTGATTTTGAACGCGTTCCTGTCTGCATTTGGTCTATCTCTGGGATGTAGAGCTTGGCCTGATGGTAGAGGAAGACAATGTTCTGCAGACCTTCCCTGAAAAAGCTCCGGGATGCTCGAATCAGCATTTTCAGCTCAGGCCCATCTCTAGTTTTCTATTACCTATTGAACAATAGGATATATGTAAATATAAGTATCTTTTCAATGATAAAAATGAAATGCTGCTATATACCGCTGTTGAGAAATTTATGGAGTTATTCATTTAGCTTTTTAGCCTGTCACCATTATGTAGAAGTTTAGCTACATAAAATTACTTTTAAAGGCTAGACCTTCTTGAGAAGTGAATTATAAAAGTGAAAGGGAACAAGTAACCTTTTGCCCAAGACTATGATTATTTCCTGCCATATTTATATTGTGTGCTTGCACAAGATACAGTGATATGCTCTTAGATCCAAAGTGGGATTAAAATGACAGAATTTACATTTTGAGTCTAGTATCCCAAATGTTGATTGCCTAAAGCACTTAGCCCCTAAATACTATAATAAAAATATTGCAAGTATATTTCTAGAATATTTTTAAAGCTATAATATTTATTTTGGTGTAGTTACCTATGTTTGCCTTTCTTTTTTTACTCCAGTTGTTTCTGCCTAAATGTGTCATAGTTTGAGACTGGTTGCATGTTTAGCTGAGAGTATAAGTATGAATGCAGATGAGTTTAGCATGATATGGGCTCAGGATTAGCACTTTCTCCTAAAGGTTGTTGATTTTACTTATTTCATAATAAAGCTTTAAAGGCATGTTCTAAAAGGCCAAAATCACAAAAGGGATTTGTAGCTCATTATGTTCATCAAAATGTGTCTGTTTTTGCAAGAAAAAGTCTAAAGAAATGGTCAGTGGATTCTGTCTTATTTTCTATGATGTCAATGGTAAAATGTCCTTACTGAGAGAAAACCATGGTGTATGACATAACCCGTGAGCAAACCTCCCCTACTGCCCCGGAGGTCTCCTCAGTGGAACACACATGTTCAGGCTTCATGCAGAGCAGGGAGGCAGCACGTTTCAAGAAGCCACACATGGGGACCGGCATCTATTTCCAACTCTGCTGTTTACTAGCAAGTAATTTTGCCTCTCTGTGCCTCAATTTACCCATCTGTGTAGTCAAGATAAAAATACTTAACAGCTCTGTGGCAGTATTTTGAGAGATGTATATGTATCTTACTTGCATAGGCAGAGTTATACTGTCATCATATCCAACATGCTGATATTAAATAAATGTATTTGGGCACATCATTGCCATAATACTCACACTTTCCAAGGTACTTCATAAGCAAACAATCCCCAGTGTGTTTCATTAATCCACTGGCCACAGAAGAGCAGCAGACAGGCTGGGAGTTGCTCCTCTGCTTCTCCAGAGTCCTTGTTTTCAGCACTTACTCAGCTGCATTGCTGGCAGAGATGGGAAATTCTTTATGGGGCAGTTTTGCTGCCATTCCTGTAGAATTCTGTGCATACAAATACAGTTGAATGCAGTAAATATACCAAAAAATTAAGGTGATCTTCAGAAAGTCACTTGGAAAAGTATGCTGGAAGCAGATTAAGTCTTCAGAAAAGTGAGGCCAGAAAGGCAGTGTCTCTGAGGAATGATTTTTGAAGTTTTCTGATGTGGCTTAAGAGTTTGTTTAACACTCCACAGACTACTTGGGATGCTTTTCTAAAACAGCCTTCTGTGCTTCCTTATTGTACTATAATTAAATACAAAGGGAAAGGAAAGGTCTTGATGGATAAGGGCCTCACTGAGCAGTGACCCTGGATCTAGGGAACTGGCAACTCAAAATACAGCTCTACAAGCATTGCAAGTTTATTTTTAGCCACCAAAATATCAGGCGCAGAAAGGTCCTGTAAAGCTCCATTCACAAAGTGGCCAGATTCTCAGCAGATGCAAAGGTGGCCTGTTTCTAGACAGAAGTCGATTGCTGTGCTCTGACCCCTCTGACCACCACCAGGCAGCCTCACAAAACAGAAAACCGTCTTTTTTTTTTTTTTTTTTTTTTTTTTAAGTCTGAGGGAGAGCATTAACTCAAAATTTCTTCTTTTCTACAAGCATCACCACTAGCAGACACAAGCAGAGACTGCACTTTAAGGGCCTGAGCTGCCAAGCATTGTTTCCTCGGTCCTCCACAACGCCAGGAAGGTCGATCTGAGGTGTCCGCTTGTTGCAGGAAGCCTCGGCCATGCGGCCCTTCCTGGCGCAGACCCACCACAGAGGTGTGACCAGGAAAGCATCTCCACCTCGCGTAGATGCTGCAAAAACAGACACGGAAGGAACGAGGAGAGATCTAAGATATAAATATGTTGATATATATCTAGGCAGAGACCTAATTGTCCAGTCTTGCATGCCATATGGTCATGCACAGCATGTGAAGCAAGCGTGGCCCTGCTGCTCCAACCAGGTAATGACCATAGATGCTGCCAAGCAATGGAGAATCAGGCCTGTGGTAGATATGTATTTACAATACTTCCTGCATCTGTACAAACAAAAATATATTATTTTAAACTACAAAATAGTGTGTTTAAATCAATGCATGAATGTAAATATTCTAAGATCTGCCTTCTTGACTGTGTACCACATGTACAGATGAAAACGAATATTGTTTATAGGAAATCTGTATCAGTGGTTAAATGACTAAAGAGAAAAAATATCAGAATTAATGTTGTCATGTTTCTCAAACAAGCCATTAATGTATATTTAGTATTTAAGGATATTGCTCAATAAGTATGTTCCGTACCAAAAACTGTGTTGCATATACAGATTGTGCAGTACCCTATTTTAAAAAGGCACCATAATTAATTTTTATTTTAAATAAAAATGTACTTGTAAAAAGTTTCCTGTGTCCTGTGGGTTATGTAGCTGAGGGTTGAGACATGGTAAAGAGAAACACTGCCAGGAGGAACGACTGCAGTGCCTGTTGAGGAACTTCTCCTGCTGCCTGAATTAAGCTTGCTTAAAAGAGCTTTCTGCTCTGGTTTCAGTTTAGCTTCTGGCTGCTGCTCATGCCAGTGTCTGGTTGGGTTCTGGGTCCATCTCATCCAACCCTGCAGTTTCAGTCCCAGACCCGTGCACTGCCATGAGATTTTGGGCCCTGCTTGTTTCTCACCCTCACCCCTTCTCTGCCATGGCCCAGCACTAGCTGCATGGCCCAGCTCTCTGTGTCCCTGCCTACCCCGTGCTTACCCCAGAGCCCTCCGCTGAGCAGTGCTGGCAGAGGAGGAATTTACTGCTATCATCAGTGAGTGGCAGGAAAACTGGGTCCTAAAGCCAGTGCTTTGTGAGCTAGGGAATTGCACTAGCACATTCCTGCAGCACCCCCAAAGCTCAAGAAAGCCTCTCTCTTTATTATGCCTGAGGTGCTGCAAGTTTCCCTAACTCTTTTAAGATTTTTTTTCTTTTCACATTATACTCAGTGCCTGAGGGGGTTTTGATGCAAGAAATAATGTACAGCGATAATTCTAACTCATCATGTGGGCTTAACCTTCCCTTTTCCACACAAGAACAAAAGCAAATCATTGACCCAAGCTTCAAAAGATCCACTGGGACCTATAGGAAGCAAATGTGGATCTTTTAACCAGGATTCACCCCACATAATATTATGCCTTTAACAGACAGAGGAGAAGAACACAATCTGTGAGGGTTTCTAAAGCCATCACCAACCTGAGCCATCCCCTCACAGCAGGATTCCTGCTTCTTCAACCAACAGGGAGCCTAAAGTAACTCCCTGGGTACCTTCAGGTGCCTGAATGAGGTCAGCTGTATGTGGGCCTACATGGGGGAAATTTATTTCAGGTGTGGAGGCATCTTGGTTGCCTTTAATTCCTAAAATGGGATTTCCTCATGGTACAAATATTTGTCTGCCAAGTTCCTGGAGCTCAGTAGGTTTTATTGTTCCCTAGTAAATGATTTTATATCTCCATTTATAGGATCTCTAGATCTGAACAAACCCCAGGCCGACACACATGTAAATTGAGCAGGTGGCAGCTTAATAAACTACAGCAACAACCATTATGCCACGTACTGTGACATCCACCAGACTTTACTGTCAGCTGTGTTCTGTGAAAGAAAGCTTCCACATTACAATCACCCTGTGACCACTGAGAAAGAAAATGCCCCCAGCAGACATTTGTCCCTGCTTCAGGCATCAAAGCTGACAGTTCAACATCCATACCTCCAGCCTGTAGCTGAGGAAGCAGCATGTCACTGGGAAGAGGAAATTTACACAACTGGGGAAACTGGGGAGAGACTGCTTGGACACCATTCTGCAGACAAAGGTGGTGATATTCAGGTGAGGACCCTCAAGTCCTAGTAACAATAAAAATATCAACCCAGAATCTGCATTTGACTATTTGTGTGCTCTAGTCCAAGTGAAATGGTCACATGAACCAAAGCATGAGCATCTTAAAAAATGACCAAATGACTGGTGCTCTTTGGTAAGTATTTGGTGCAAATCTGACTAGACTGGAACGCAGCAGCAGATCTCCTAACCTAAAAACTGTGGGTATGTTTTGAGACTCACTGAAAATATTCCTAAAGAATAGGAGACGCAGTAAATAACTTTCCACGCAGAAAAGCCTGGTGTTGCCTGGTGTGCTCTTCCTCCACTGGCCCACCACTGGGAACCAACATTATGATACCAAGAGAGTAATTAGATTACTGGGTTTTAATATTATTTGGAGTGGGAGCAAGAGATTTATAATGAGGGAGATGTGGTGTATTATGTGATTTTGGTAATACACAATCATTATCAAGTGCATTTCACTGGTTTCATCTGGACACGTGCACTGCCAAGGTCTACATCATTTTAATAGATGTCCAGTACAATTAGTTTTAAATAACATCTTTCTCCTTTTCTGAAAGAGGCTCTGATTTGGGCGTGCTTGATTCATGCAGGTGCAGTCTTTGCCCCTCAAAACAATCCTGTGTTTTAAAAGACCTGATGTATTAGTCTTATGTCATCAGTGTGTCAACATTCTTGTTAATAACAGATATTTCTTTGCTATCAAAAATACCCCTCAGAGATGGACTTCTACTTAATAAAGATGATCTAAAATAAAGATATCTAAGCCATTTCCTTATGGTGCTTTCATAGTTATTATATCCTCAACCAGTTTTAAAGCACAAAAACAATTACCTAATTGCAAGCTAGCAGAGAAGTTGCCCTTGAAAGTGACCTGAATCTAATTAATTTTGTTAGCATTCAGGCAAAAAATACTAGGAATATTAATACCAAGATTCCTGGCATGTTCTGAATTTATTTTTGGTCAGAGTTAATACAAAAGCACTCACTATCACATTTAAACATTTGTCTTGTTTCTCCTGCCTTGCACCATGGCATGTGTGGCATAGCCATGGGGATTAGCAATTCTCCTGATTACTCTGAGCATGTCAGCAGTGCCGTTGCAGCATCCTCCTGCCCCAGCCCATCCCACCAAGAGAGTCTGCACAGCACAGTGAGCACCAGCAAGGGCTCTGTGCCTGGCCACGGGGAGGGGGAGGCAGCAACGCCTGGGTGAAGCATGCAGCCCCTGAAGGGGGAATTCCTGGGGAGAGGGAGGGATGGTGCTGCTGCTTGGATCAGGGTGCGGCACCAACACCCCTTTGTCCTGCTGGTACGGTCACTGAAAAAGTTAAGTACAGAACTAAGGTTGCAGGTGAGCAGTCAAGCCCGCTTCACTGCATATTATAAAATGCCATAAAGGTATTACACCCATGAAAGACACATTATTGCACTGACCAGTTTCTGATCAGCCTCCAGTGCTGCTGGGGAAGGGGATGAGCATGGTGAATGTGGTCCATGGGATCCATGGAGACCCAGCTCTGCTTCCCCCAACAATTTATAAATGAAAATCCTACAGGCTTTAGTTTCTACCTCACTGTATAAACGGCAAGGCTATAACAAGTTGATTTTATTATGGGTGCTGGCTAAATACATTTAGTCTTCTTTCTGACTTGTTCATTTCCTTAATCTGTAAGCATCCATAAAAAACAGTTAAGTGGTATTTATATTTATCTGCCTGAAAGTATTTTATATTATATATCATAGTGACTGAAAGAGAAAGAAAGTTTCTTTGTAAATAGCAGCTGGCTGTTTGCTTTCTTATGCATTGATATAAATTTCATGAACTGGGTTTTGTACAGCACAAAAAGAACTTTGAGCCAGAACGTGAATAAATTTCCCTCTAAGCTCAGCATCACTTCCCCCTACACATGCACACATAAATGCTTTCAGTATTTAAGGTTTCATTTAACACAGCCATAGCAGGAAGTAAAAAAGAAAATATAAAGAAAAGCAGCAGTATGGCAGACACATCCAAGTGAGCGAGCCTGTGAGCCAGAGACAGCCTTTCCCATTTTGATTTGTAATTTGAGGATAATTCAATTAGACATTTCAAGCAATTTAAACATTCATGTATTGTCCAGCACCAAAGCATGAACTGTTCAGCAGCAAACTAGACCTGACAGCCTTAGCAGGCCAAGTACAAATCTCAATGTTTCAAATGAAAAGCCCTCACCTAATTGATGCCTACCGGAAAATTAAAAAAAAAAAAGGGGGGGGGGGATTCAATGGGGGGGGCACAGGGGGTGAAAGAACTACAAATGGCAGAATGAGGCATATATCCTGATTAGGGGCTTCACACCTCATTAGCAGTCATTTGCTTAACAGAATATTTCAAGGCCTGTGTGTTCCTCGGTAGAGAGAGATTAAAATCCAGATGCACCTGATCACCCATCTGCTGCTCCTCTCCAGCAGTGGCTGACAGCAGGCATTTAGGAGCAAGGTGGAAGGGACCTGTGCTGACTATTGCTGCCTGAGCCCTCCTGCTAGCAAACAGCAGCACAGGAAGCAAAGGTCCCAGTACCCACACAGCAGGAGAAATCCTGAACAAGCTTGCGGCCTTTTTGGACACAGTAGGGAGAAGTCAAGAGCAGGAATCGCTGTCCTCATGCACTTTTCTATTCAGTAACTTCCCCAGCATCACAAATGAAGCCTGCCAGGGGCAAGAATTTCAGAGGAAAATTTAAGCAAGTATGTTTCAGAGCCCTATTTGCTTTCAGTGTTTTGTTCCCGTGCGTTGTGACCACTGAGTTCGGGGAAGAAGCTATTTGTCTTCTCCACAGCAAGCTGCCCTGCAAGCAGCTGGTCATGCTAACCTCGAGACTGGCTGTCTGGCAGGCAAGACTGTTTTGATGGACACAGGTTTGGGCTGCCCGAAGTCATTCTTTTCATTAACAGCATTTAGAGGCAGGCTATGAAAACACCATAATTCGTCAAGTAAAACTTCTCTGGCAGCTACGTGCCTTTGGTATCCGTTCAACAGTTCCTCAGAGCATCTCCGGAGCAGAAACATGCCTGCAAAACTTTTCATGAGTGTACCGCACTTCTTCCCACTTCATTTGAAGTGTTGTGCAGGATCAAGTTAGGCTGCTCAAAACCCAGAAAGTACATACATTATGTATGTGGATGTCAGATACAGCGGCAATTTTCCTTGTATCTTTCTATTTGAAGACCCAGTGTCCAGTGTGCTTAAAACCTATTTGAGTGTGAACAACTTGTGCTGAAATTTTCCATGTTGAAAGTAAGCTGCAAGCTGACCTTTATATTTGTCTAGGAGCTGCAGAAGAACAATTCCTACTGCTTCCAAGAATGACATTTGGGAAAGTATATTAAAACAATTAAAAAAAAAATCAACAATTTCTGACAGTCTTATTGACAATTGGTAATTCTTATGATCTTTGGAGAATGGATTAAATTTGATAAGCAGATCAATGCTTTTATTGTAGGTTACAAGCCTCTGGAAACTCATGGTTTCCCTTCTCTATAGGGCACTTGA